CCAAGAGCGCACTGGAATTCCAGGTTTTGACAGCTTGACACCCTGAGTTGGCAGGGACCAGTTTTTCAAGCTAATACTTCCCTGACAACCATCGCCCAGCCCCTTCAAGACCAGGGGTATTATAAGCTGGCCCCCTTTCCCATCCCTGTGATGAGTTTGCAGCCTACCCGCCTCAAAGACCCCATCAGGCCACATAATAGAGTCAAGATCTGTTTAAACATGTTTAAAACAGGGTTGGTCACAACAGTCAGAACAGCACAACAATGAGAGGAGGGGGAGCATAGCGGCTGCCGACCCTGTTAGCTGAGGCTCCAGCAAGAGCTTTAGCTTCGGGGTGCAAGGGGCCCCCAGATCCCAAGGCTGTGGGTGTCCTGCCTCTTCCCCAGCCCCCTCCTCCACCAGTGAGGTGGTGTATATTAGGCCCAGCAGGTGGCGCTCTTCCTCTTCCAGTCTGTGGCTCAGAACCAGGCTAAGGGCAGAGGTAGATGGGGAGACATGGGGTGCACAAGGCCCAGGTGGCAGTGTGGGAGCTTGGGACCCTGAGGAGGGCATGCTGACTCCTTGCTGGAGAAAAGGCACCTAAATAGGGAAGCTGGGCTTGTGGGTCTCCCAGGGAGCCATGGGGCGAGGCGAGATGGTCTGAAGGAAGCCGTATGGTGACAATCACAATTCTGGTTCCCACACCTCCACCTCCTACGGGAAAAGTTAAGGAATCCTGGAGCAGAGCCCTATGCCTGAAACCTGTCTGAGGGAGCCTCACCCCTTCCCACCCCACTCCCCTCACAAGCCCAGATCAACCTCCTTGCCACTGGCCAGCGGGAGGCCGTGTGCAGGGAGGGAACAGATGATAGAGGGACCTCAGGCTCTCTTGGCGCCCGAGTCCACCTCCTTGTGGGCCCAGAGCTCCTTGTGCTGTTTACGGCCAAATCCCTCATCGTAGTTGCCTTTGCTCTTGAACAGCTGCTGAAAGTGAGGTTTGCAGTAAAATTCACCGTGCAGTGCTGCGTAACTGCCCAAGCTGCGGAAGCAGAGAACAGCTGGGTCAGTCTAGGTCGGGGCTGGAAGGCAGGGTAGGGTGGGCAAGTTAAATGGGCAGGGCAGGGCAGAGCATGCGAGCACCTGAGTTTGGTGTGGCAGTGTTTGCAACAGAAACAAGAGTTGTGGAAAATAAACTTGTCTGCCACCAGCCGCTCCATAGGATACACAGTCTTCTGGCAGGCTGCACAGGTCTCCTTCACCTGAGCCCGCAAGCTGAAGGACTGGGGAGTAGGGTACACTCAGCAAGAAGCCTGACAGCACCGACCGTCTCCTCCACCCACGCCCACCCTCGGGGGCCCTACCTTGGAGCGCTGCACCGCGCTGCTGCCGCTGCTGCCTTTGGCTTCCTGGGGAAGAGGAGCAGTCAGAGCGGGGGTCAGCTCTCCGGCGGCCCAGCCCAGATCCCAGAGGCACTCAAGAGGTGGCAGAGGGTGTCAAGCAAACAAGCTGCTCCTGTCCCTTTTACCCCTCCCACCTGGCTGGTCACCTACATGAGAGGGGGTGGCCTGGGCGGCTCCGGCAGCTTGAAACATGGCTCTTCGGAGGTGGTTGGCGGCCTGGGTGGAGACGCCGCGCCAGGAGTGTTCTGCAAGGGGAAGTCAGTCAGTGGGGCCCCAAGAGCCCTCCCCCATCCTGCAGGCTGGGGTGTTTTTAGGCAGGGGGTTGAGGGGCTGCGGTTGGGACTTTCCCTAAGTCATTTCCTGTTGCTCTGGGTCTTGCCACTTCCGCCCCTCATCCCCCTCCCCAGCCTGCCCGCCCCTCAAGCAGCTCCCCAAAGGGGTAGGGGGTCCCTGAGTGGAAACATATGTGGGGATAGAACAAAGTTAGCGAGAGCGGCCGGGGACAGAGGGCTCCGCGGTGCCTGCGTGTGCTTCCCACGGGCGGGGACCCCGCCTGGGCTGAGGGGAGGTCAGTAGAGGTCTGGCCCGGGCACCGCCTGACCCGCCTCCCATCCCCTCCCCCACCGACCCCGCACCGGGCTCAGACGAGCAGCCCTTGGACAGCGCTCGGCCCGGCCTCCTGCCCGGCCAGGCTGCGCCGCTTCCCGCGCCTGCTCCTCGGGACCCCAGACCCGAACCCACCCCACCATGGGCCGGCCCAGCGGGACCGACGCGAGCCTCGGGGTCCCGGCGCGCGCTCCGCGCGAACCGCCAGGCGGCGTCGGCCCCGCAACGCTCCGCGCCCCTCCCCCAGGCCGCCGTGGGTCTCACCGGGCCCGGCCTGCGCCGCGGGGCGGGGGTCGGTCGCTGGGGGACCGCCTCGGGTGCGAGAGGCGCGGGCGCGAGCTGCCACCGCTGCCAGTGGTCCCCGAGCGGCAGCCGCCGCCTCACCGCGGCGCCGCCCCCGCCGGCCCCCGCCCCGCGCCCGCCCATTGGCTCCGGGTGCCCGGGGCCGCCTCCGGGAGAAGCCGCCGCCGACCCCCTCTGTGCTTTGTCTTTCCCTCGCTCGCCACCGCCCCCCCCCCCGCCTTTGTCTGCCCCCGAACCGCTTTCGCAGCCCGCGCTCGCCCGTCTCCCGGAACCGACCTCCCCTGCAGTTCGTGGGGAAGGGACGTCGGCGGGGGCGAGGACTGAATCGCGTACCTCTGGCGACGATGAGTTGAGCCTACGGTCGCCACAAGGCGCTCCCGGCGCAGACCTTCACAAATGGGTCTGGGCTTTTTGGCTGCCTCGGTTTACCCGTTGACCATTGTGAAGGCCGAGTCCCATTAGCTCCGCCACCTCCTTGCGCTCTGGGGACCCGGTACCCTGAGCTACCCCACTGTGGGGACTCTGGAGGCAGCTCCTGATCCTCCCGATACCCCTATGTTAGGCCCAGGTGGTGGCCCGATGCCGCCATGTGAGGGGTGTGACAGATCCGCCACCCCAGAACTCCCACAGCTACGTGGCTTCCGAAAGCACCCACCCCCTCAACCCGGGTATCCTAACCGCTTTCTGAGGCCAGATTTTGTGGGATTTGTAACCCCTGGCCTGTATGCCAGGGCCCAGGTCAAGCCCTTAGCTGAAAGGACGCGCTTCCTTGCAGCAAGCACACCGAAGGGAGCCGCCAGGCATTTATTTAGACTTGTTTAGGGCACAAAGTGCTTCAAGAGCTGCGCCTGCCGCCGCACCCCAGCAGGTGGGGAGGACAGCCCGGCGCTGCAGGGCCTCGGGGCAGCAGCATCTGGGGCACGGACCTCTGCTGGAAGTTTTGCCTGAAGCCTGGCTAGAGGCTGTTTCACGAAGCACGCAGCACCCTGCGACCTGTTCCCACACCCCCGACAGGAATAGAACTGGTGGCTCTAGCGCGGGCCCACGCGTGTCAGGGAACAGAACGGCTCAACGCCTCCTGCCTGGCAGGGGAACAGGGAAGCAGCAGGCTGCACCACCCGTCCCCGCCGGCCCCCCACGGTTTCCCTGGCTGCTAACGCGCCCACGCTGTGCTTCACTTTTCTCTCGTCCCCGTTCCCGCTCTAAACGATGTTTTGCCACTGACTTTCTGGTGGGTGCTTCTCCACAACTGGGGGGGGGAGGCTCTTCCTGGGGAAATTGTCCACACCTGTCATCAGAGTCGCCGAGGAAGCGGTTTAATGCAAGAAAGGTCAGGCCCTTAGGGACCCCAAGAGGCTGCTCCCGGGCACGGACTGGCAGCCTGCCCTGCTGGGACCATCTGTGGGCTGAGCTGCAGGGATGAGCTCAGATGGACGAGATGAGCTGACGGCAAGGAGGCAGGCGGTACAGAGGGAGAGAACTGGCTAGCTGTGGGCCCATGCCAGTTTTCGGAGAGAGAGGTCACCCTGCGCTACAAGTCACATCCTGGTGCACACAAGCACACCTATTAAAAAGATTTAAAAGTAAGAGAAAGCAAGTCGGGCAGCGGTAGAAGCACCTGAAATAGTTATGACTGCTGGGGCTTTATATGGGCCATTCTCACATGCCGTTTCAGGGCCCCTACTCCACCTCCATAGTGTGAAACTAAAAGAAAAAAGTTTCTTTAAATGTTCTGTAGTTGTTAGACAAGGTATCCAGCCCAAGCACGCCATAACCCAGCTATGCACCCGAGGATGATGCATACAACGCCCATGCTCTTGTCTCTGCCCCCAAGTGCTGGGTTTATAGAGAGGTACCATGCCCCACTCCCAATGTACGCCCTGCTTAAGGGCTGATCAAACATGCTCCGTGCATGCCAGGCAAGTACTGCCAATTAAGCTACGTTTCTGGCCTCAATTTAAAGAATTTCTCAGACTATGGAAAGTGGGGGCATTTGATGGCCTAAGAAGTCTTAGAAAATGGAGGACTTCCTTAAACTGCTATTTATGCCAGGCAGTGGTAATGCACACCTTTAATTCCAACACTTGGGAGGCAGAGGCAAGCAGATCTTTGTGAGTTTAAAGTCAGCCTGGTCTGCAGAGCAAGTTCCAGGGCAGCCAGGACTACTCAAAAAACACCCTGTCTCGAAAAACAAAACACAAAACAACACAAAACCCAGGGTTTGAAGTGCCTGAGACAGCAGAGGGCCTCATCCAGGGGCCTAGCCAAGTGGGAATGCTGGGCTGGGCATGTACAAAGTTAGGGCCGGTGCCCTTGTCATAGTCACTGGCTGCCAGGATGACAGGTTCTTGGGTTACATGATTGCTGGGTATTACTATCAACCATCAGGAGATACGACAGAGCCCTCCACCCTTGGCTGCCAGAGCCCTAGTGCTCCAGAGGTAGGCTTGGTTAGACACCAGCACTGGTGCCCTTTCCAGATAACTTTGCCAAGGCAAAATTTAATATAATACTCCTGAAATTCTAGGGAATTAAGAGACTGTGGGTTTTAAAGAAACTGGTATGTCTGCTTATGAAAGAAATCACTGTCAGGCCTCCACACCCACTCAGCCCATCCTGGGATAACGATGGCTTGCACCTGAGTCTGTCTGGCCATCCTAAAAGTAGGCTACAGCCTCTGCACCCATGGAAACATTGGTGTCATTCCCAACATACTCTGAAAATTTTAATTTGTTCTGACAATGAAACTAACACAACGTAAGGACTTACTCAAGCCCTCAGATGAGGCAAGACATTGCGGCTCTTGGAGGAGGCACCAAGGCAGCAGCTGACAGGAGGCATGGATGGAGGTTGCAGGTGCTAGGGCCCAAGAGCTAGGTGGGGATAAGGATGCCCCGCCCAGCCATCACTGACCTGGCTCTTCAGACAGACACTGGGAGATGCTTGAGGGCAGGACAGGGGCAGGCTGCTTAGGACTTGTCCCCGTTTAGCCCTCCAGCATCTGGGAGCAGAGAAAGTGGAGTAGACAGGAGAGCAAGTGCAGGAAGAGGAAGTGAAGGATCCCTGGGTCGTGAGTTAAGCTTTGGGCTTGGACTTGAGCCTCGGGGCCAAAGCAGTGTCTCTTCCTTCTGAGGAGGTCCCCTGAGCTCACAGAACAGGGTGTCAGCTTTCTGGCCTCTCCAAGTCCCTGGAGACAGGGACTCCCTGTCTCTCAAAAGCCACAGAAACGGTGAAGTCTCTTCCAGAATGTCCTTTCAAGCAGCCAGCAGCCAGCTCTGCCGACATAGTGTCCTTTCTACCCAGTCAGCACCCAGAGGTAGGTGCCGCCCCTCAGGGAGGCCCCCAGGGCTCATACCCCACCCCAGCTGGAGGGTGCAGGCTGCATTGGCTCAGAACTCCCAGTCATCCACCTCCAGGCCTTCCAAGTCTGTCACCAGGCCGAAGATTCCACTGGGATCCTGAGACTGGCTGCCCTCAAAGTTGGTGATGGGGGTGACAGGGCGAAGCAACTCGGGCAACGCCTCTGAGGCACGTCGCTTGATCTGAGGGAGAAAGACAAGTTGGACGGTGGATGCTGCAACTCAGGACACTACAGGACCTTGGGTTACCAGGCCATGGTTCCTGCCCCTTGGTGTCCTGGAGCCAAAAGGGAAAGGCAGGAGAGTGCCTCTTAGGGCTTCAGAAACATGGTCATCCCTCTGTTCAGACAGGCAGTGGAAGAGCACCCACCCCAAGCTAAGGGTCAGGGTGTCTAGAGCCACAGGTGAGCAGCAGCAGCAGCTTTGGAACCAGGGGAGCGCTTCCATACCTGCTTGAAGAAGGAGTGGTTCAGAAGGGTGCTGGCATTCGGCCTGGAGAGAAAGGGGAAGAGACCACATGACTCCTGGGCTCAGCTACTCCAACCCTGACATTCACCCTCTCCTCCCAGGCCCTCTACCTCTTCCCTCAGCTCTCCCAACAGCCAAAGCTACCCAGGCTGGCTTCTTAACAGGAAGCTGGTTCTTCTTGCTGAGGGACCACACTCTCCTCTGGGAATCGAGGTCTCTACTTAAGAGCCAGCCTCTCTCCTGGCTGGCGTTCCCAAGCTCCCTGCGCTGCCCTCAGCTTGGCCGACGGCCAGCAGGCACCTTGCGTCAGGGTTGCGCTGAAGGCACTGCTCCACAAAGTGGTGGAAGTGGGGTGAGAAGGTCCGCTGGTAGGGGTGGGCAGGCGAGTCGCCGTTGGAAGGCCGCAGGCTACCAGTGGCCAGGCTGTCATTCAGGGAAGGGGTGGCAACGGAACGCGAGGGACTCATGGTCAGCTCCTCGGCAGGGATGGTGCTGGTGTCCAGGAGGCAGGGCACTGTGCCATTCAGTTTCTCTAGGAGCATCTGGAGAAGACACGGGTCTGGGTTGCGGACTCTGGACAGCCAAGAGTTCCGTCACAAACACCTCACTCCCTTGAAGAAATGGAAGCTCTGGGAGTGAAGATCCAAGTGGGGGGGGGGCTGGCTAGGGTTATGTCAATTTGACACTAATTGGAGTCATCTGACGAGGGAGCCCATGAGAAAATGCCTCCACATGAATGGGCTGTAGGCAAGCCTGTAGGGCATATATTCTCTCCCTGCCCCTCCCCCCTCCCTCTCTCTCCCTGTCCGTCTCTCTCTCTCTCTCTCTCTCTCTCTCTCTCTCTCTCTCTCTCTCTCTCTCTCTCTCTCTCTCTCTCTCTCTCAAGACAGTTTCTTTGTATAGCTCTGGCTGTCCTAGAACTCGCTCTGTAGACCAGGCTGGCCTCAGACTCACAGAGATCTACCTGCCTCTGCCTCCCGAGTGCAGGGATTAAAGGTGTGCCACTGTTGACCAGTGGGCACTTTCTTAGTGACTGATGGGGAAGGTCCAGCCCATTGTGGGTGGTATCATCCTGGGGCAAGTGGTCCTACGTACTACAGTAAAGCAGGCTGAGCAAGCCATGAGGAGCAAACCAGTAAGCAGCATCCTCCATGGTCTCTGCTTCAGATCTTGCCTCCAGGCTTCTGCCCCGCTTGAGTCCTGTCCTGCCATCTCAGTAATGGCTGTTTCCTGGAAGTGTAAGCAAAATAAAACCTTTCCCCACTAACTCACTTGTCGTCACGTTGTCTCACCACAGCAGTAAAAACTCTAAGACATCATGCAAATCTGGCTTTTGCAAAGGAACACTGGCCACTGGCTGGCAGGGACGACAGAATGGGAGAGGAAGGACTACAAGTGCCCCTTCACCAGGGCTGGATGAGGAGCCCAGCGTTGATACATGCAAAACCAGCCACACCTTGAAGACAGCTGTCTTTGTGAGTGACCTCAGGAACCTTTTGAGCAATCCAAACAGAACCTGGAAAATTCTCTAGGATTCCACTAATGTGGGCGCTTCTAACCACCAGACTATTTAAGTTAGCTTTAAATTCAATTCCTCCATCTACCGGTCACATTTTAAGTGATCAATGTAACAAGTGGCTAGTGACTCCCTTATTGTGGACAGTGCAGGCACAGACACTTCCATTATTGCAGAAAGTTTTACTGGACAATGCTGCTTCTGGATTTGGACGACTAATTAGCTTAGTGATTTACACTAACTAGGTTACACTAACTAGCTCAAACTAACAAGGTCCAGACTAACTCAAACTAACAAGGTCCACCCTAACTAGGACCACACTAACCATCTTACTCCTTCTTGAGCAGCTCCTGTTACTCAATTATTTTCTTACCCATCTCTTATAGGTAGGCTCCTGATTATTCTATCAGAGCTAAGTTAGGCTAAGAACTAGAATGGGTAGATGAGTCACCTTTCAGACAGACAGACGGACGGATAACCCACCACTGTCACCCATGCTTGTACCTTCAGCCCTTCCCTGTTCTCTGGGATCATATACGGCATTCCTGTCTCCTCCTCCAGCCTGATCACCCAGCAGCTCTCGGGAAAGCCTGGCCCCAGCCATTTACAGTTCTCTGCTGTGCCCCAATCTGTTCTTTGCTAGCACACACTGATGTTGCAGGGTCTGAACTCAGGACTCTGCAAATCCTGGTAAGCACTCTACTGTTGCGGGATATTTTAACTATGTGAGGGTGTTACATTTGTCTATGTTGCATTTTTTAATCATGTAAAGATGGGTGGCTGTTTCATTTTGCTTACCTAACGCACCTGACTGGTCTAAGAAAGAGCTGAACAACGCCGGGCGTTGGTGGTGCACGCCTTTAATCCCAGCACTCGGGAGGCAGAGGCAGGTGGATCACTGTGAGTTCAAGGCCAGCCTGGTCTACAGAGTGAGTTCCAGGACAGCCTCCAAAGCTACAGAGAAACCCTGTCTGGAAAAACCAAAAAAAAAAAAAAAAAAAAAGAAAGAGCTGAACAGCCAGTAGAAAAACAGGCAGGGCTTGTGGGCAGAGAGAATGAGTAGGAGGAGAAATGGCAATGGAGGAGAAAATGGAGAGAACACAGGAGAAAGAGAGAAAGAAGCCAGGGGCCAGGCAGCTGCCAGCCAGCAGACACAGAGTAGGACATACAGAAAGAAAGGTAAAAGGCCCTGAGCTCAGACAAAACCTAGATAAAGAGAAACAGAGTAAAATATGAGCTAATAGAAGGCCAAGAATTCATAAATCATAAGAAGTCTCTGTGTCATGATTTGGGAGCTGGTTGGTGGCCCAAAAGAAAAACCCTGGTGTATCTACCACTGAGCTACATTTCCAGCCAAGATTAGGCTTCCATTCCCACTATTTGTACAGTCAACTGCCATTAGCTTTCAGGGCTAGACTAGGGGCTGGAGAGATGACTCAGTGGTTAAGGAAGCTTGCTGCCCTTACAGAGATCCTGAGTTTTGTTCCTAGCATCCATGTTGGGTGGCTTTCAAGTGTGTGACTTTAGATCCAGGAGCTCTGATATCCCCTTCTGAACTCCTTAGGCAATGGTACACATGTAACATGTATGCACATGTACATGCATGTGCACACAAACTCTTTTTCTTTTAAGTATTAAACGAAGTATTTTCGCCCCCTAGAAGTTCTTTTGGTCCCTGCTCAAGGCAGTTGACTCAACCATTCTCTAGCTTCAACCTGTGACCCCAAGGTGAGCAGTGTGTGAGCCTGAGGGGGGAGGCCTGCTCACAGGTTTTTACCTCCTCCTGGTTCTAGATCTTGCTCCAGGCACCTGAGATTCAAGTAACACTTGCCCAGACAATCCCAACTCCTTTTCCTGGGTGTGATAGGACCTGAACAAGTTTCTTTTCTAGACTGTGCCACTGGCCTGAGTGGTGGCCAAAAGGCAGGCATGTGCAGGGGTCTGCAGAATGCAGGCTCTACAGTGTGTTTCAGAGTACAGTGGCACACAACCAGAGATGCCTGGGATTTGAAACTGGATGCTGATCTTTTGTACTTATCAAGGAAGGAAGACAGGACATAGCTGATGAGTTTATAAGGATCAGGTAGCTTAGCATGGTGGTGCATGCCTACAATCACAAAACTTGGAAGCTGAGGCAGGAGGATTGCTCTAAGTTTAAAATTGATCAGCATTTTATACAATTTGCACAGCCATACAGTATCATGTGTTATGTGCCTCTCTCTGCACTCTCTGCCCTGCTTGCCCCACCCTATGGGTTGGGCTCTGTGACCACAATATTTATCACCAGAGGAGGGAACAAAGAATTGCACAAGCACCCCTCCACCAAGCGGGTGGGAAACTTCTTGAAGCAAAAAGACTATCATGTTATTAGCCATAGTCAGCGTCCCCGTGTGGCAGAAAGCAACAGACATTTGTGGAAGGCAGGCAGATGAGAAGAAGGGAGCACAGGTCTGCAGGCTCACCTGAGTGGCAGGCATGTCCTTGAAGGGGACATGGCCATTAGCTAGTTCACACGCTGTGATCCCCACACTGTAGATATCAGACTTGGCATCATAACCCTGAAGATTCTAAAAAAGAAGAAAAAAGCCAAAGGTGACTCCATTTGCAGCCCTGATCTTTCTTTAAATAAGAAGGAATAAAAACCGAGGAGGCGATGAATGCCCATCCCAGTCAGGACCGGGCGCTGACCACGCTTACCTTCTAATGCGGGTAACTGCTCTGTGAGGATAGCAAATGTTTGGCGGTGCTATGAAGTGAGCAGGCACACTGGAATGGGATCTAGTATTTCCAGAATGCTCTCTATCCACAGGGTGGGAAGTGTCCCTCAGGCAGACACTAGGGACAAGTTGGGGACCCACACATCCACAGCGGGCAGGCAATGCCCATGTTGAGTGGGTGCTAAGACACAACTGGCCAACAGGACTCTTCCTCCAGAATCGGAGAGAAGTTCCACCCCAGTAAATTTCTGTGTCTCTTTGGGCCCAAGGACACAGACCTGCTGGAGAACTTCTGGGCTGAGCCACGGCAAGACCTTGACACTGTATTTTGGAAAATCATGGACCGCACGCTGCCGTTGCCCGTGGCTGATCATGCTGAGGTTGCTGCGTAGACCAGACAGGTAGACCTTCCCATCCGTGGAAATCAGAATGTGGCTGGCCTTGACACTCCTAAGGGGGAAATTAAGACATGTGCATGCCTCATGCTACAAATCTGCAGTCTTCAAATACTGGACCTGGCCAGCTCTCCCCCTTGTGTGTATCCCATGCATATACGTGCATCTCATACATGTTGGGGAAGTCCTGTGTATATGTCAATAAATTACTGCTGGCCAATAGGAATCTAGATAGGTGGGGCTAGGAATCCAGGAGGATTCTGGGAAGGAGAAACACAGGAGAGTTCCGAGATGTAACACCATGGGGTAGGAGCCCGGAACTATTCTCCGGTAAGAGACATACTTAGATTAACAATTATGGGGTAATTACTTAAAGCAGAGCTAGCCAGTAAGAGACAAGCAAGGCCAACAGCTTCATAATTAATATAGCCTCCTGTGTGTTTATTTGGGACTGATGCGGATCTAGAACCAGGCGGGCGGGAAGGCTTCATCTCAAAGAAAAAGGCTTCTCTTAACACATACATACATAAATGTATATATGACCATTTTCTCTCTCTCTCTCTCTTTTTTTTTTTTTTTTTTTTTGGTTTTTCAAGACAGGGTTTCTCTGTATTGTTTTTGAGGCTGTCGGTCCAGCCTGGCCTCGAACTCACAGAGATCCGCCTGCCTCTGCCTCCCGAGTGCTGGGATTAAAGGCGTGCACCACCAACGCCCAGCTTTGTTTTTGTTTTTTCAGACAGGGTTTCTCTGTAAGCCTCTTTAAAGCTGCCCTGGAACTTGCTCAGTAGACCAGGCTGGCCTTGAACGCAAAAATCCACCTGTCTCTACCTTCCAAGCGCTGGGATTAAAGGTGGAGCCACCACCACCCGGCTCAGCACAAATGGGACAGGTCTATCACTCTCCTCCCACCAAGGCTGGGGACAATTGCAAAAAAACGGATGGAAAGATTGTAAAAGCCAGAGGTAGGGAAGACCTGATCAAAACAGCTTCCTCTGGACAAATGCGACCACAGACACTGTGACTGCCTGTATAGAACCCTAGCATTCTAGCATGGAGGAAAGAGGAGCTCAAGAGCCTCTGCCCCTAACTGACAGGTTGCTGGCTTCTGGGGGAGGGAAAGTTAGTTTTATTTAACAGTGAGGTCCCTGGCATGTCAGCCATGTTCCAATGGATAGTCCCAGCCAGCCTGGACCTCATTATGTAAACTAGGCTGGCCCCAAAGCCTTAATGCTCTGAGATCTGCCTCTCTTACAGGCATGCACCACCATACCAGGACTAATGATTTTTATTTGTTTGCTGTGTAGCCTTGGTTGTTCTGAAACTCAGTCTGTAGACCAGGCTGGCCTTGAACTCACAGACATCTGCCATTCATGCTCCAGCCTGGCTCCTACTTATACTTTAACTTTTTGTTCTTGGGCATTCTTGGGAAGTGCATGTGTGTGCTTTAAATTTACTTAGTCACTTTCTGTTAAGCAATTCGCTCCTTTTTCAGTGCTGACTTCAAGACTCATCCTCATCCTTGTTGCCATCTGTACATGCTGGATTCTCGCTTCTGATTGGCAACTATAGCCCAGGGACCTCATATTTCCCATTCTCCAGGGAGAGACACTCAAGACACGTGTACTCAGTGCAGTTGTAACAGACGTCAGCATGTAGCAGACATTAGCACACAGCCAGAGCTGATGATGCTCTAGGTTCCATGCCCCAGCTGGTGGCTCTAGGTTCCATGCAGCCTCCTAGCCACTGCAATGTGACATCGGGTCTTCATCTGTGGTTCTATGACCACGAGGGCTGAGTGTGTGTCCCTGCAACTGCTGTGACCACCCCTCCTGCCACTCTGCCGTCTTTTCTTGTTTTGCATGACCTTGTTGCTCATGTATGTTTAGACAAAGCTAACCTCTGTCATTCTAGGACACACTATTTTGTTCAGAGTGTCACTGACGAGATAGAAATCTTTAAGACTGATGTAATCAAATTTATCATTTTCTTGATTTATGCTTTTAAATGCACAGCTCTTGTGTATCTAGGTCCCAAAACTATTCCCACACACTGCCTTCTGCCTCAGTCTGCAGTTCGGGGCTTATGAGATGGCTCGGTGGGTTAAGGCACTTGCTGCCAAGCCTCACAACCTCAGTCTTATTCCTGGAACCAATGGAGTGGAAGGAGAACTCCAGTTCCATTGTCTTCCCCATTATGGGTTTTCCTGACACTAACCACAAAGAAATTTGTCTTTGGCCTGGCCATGGCCTGCTCTGAGACACAGCAGATGGTCCTCTCACACGATAAAGATCAAGTGACTTCAGCACTGACAGACTAATGACTCTCCCTCAGGTGTCAAGCTCAGAATCCAGATCCTTGATTCTGAACTCTAGCTTCACAAGTAAAGGGTACCTGTGCACATAGCCCATGTGGTGGATGTAGTCCAAGGCCTTCAGCGCCCCCTGCAGGATGTATGCAATCGCCTGCTCATTCATGCCATCCATGAAGTGTGTGCCAATGAGATCCTTGGCAGAACCTGAAAAGGACACCAAGAGTAACAGGAGAAAGGAAACAGCACAGAAGGAACCACAAGCGTTCTAGAACTTTCCCACTCACCATATGCCATGAATGATGTGACGACCCACAGCTCATTGTCTGAGATGAAGGTGGCTCGATATGGCACTATATTGGGATGGCTGAAGAGTTTAGAGACGTGAAGCTCCCCCTGAAAGCAAGGGCAAAGCTGAGGTCAGGGTCCCACATGGCATCCAACATCAAGATGGCAGGTTACAGTGTGGAGGCCTAGCGCCTTCTGGGTGCTCTCCTCAGAGGTCTTCCAAAGTAGGAAGGCCCATCCTGCCTGGAGAAAGCCACCTGATTTGCCCATTCAGGCCTTTGGATGGCCCTGCCAGCCACCAATACCCAAGAGCCTCAAAAATCAACCCTTCACCATGCAGGGTCACTGCTGTCAACACAGTGAGCATCAACTACCTCAGAGATGACAAAAAGAAAGCAGTGACTGAAGACTTGGGAAGTGACCCACTTAACTCCAAAGGCCGAGGCACACACTACCTTTTAAGTCAAGAACACAGTCCCAGTTCGTGCGCTGAGGTAGTAGAACTGTAAATTTGAGGCCAGGCTGGGTAATAGCAAGATGCTATCTAAAAACAAAAACTGTTTTCCCACTGTACATCAAAGTATAAGAGTTGACTGAACTAACAGACTACAGAAACTATGGAATACAAGGAGACATTTCCTAGCACCTTTCTCTGAGTTTCAGGCCAGCCTGGTCTACAGAGTGAGTTCCAGGACAGCCAGGACTGTTACACAGAAAGGAACCTCAGAAGAGCCAGGGAGATCTGTGTTATCCCAGTGCTTAGAGCAGAGGTTCTCAGCCTTCCTAACGCTTCCACCCTTAGTACAGCTCCTCATGTGTGGTGACCCCAACCATAATTATTTCATTACCACTTCATAACTGTCATTTTGCTACTGTTATAAATCATAATGGGGTCTTAATCCACAGGTTGAGAACTGATGGCTTAGAAGGCTAGGACAGGAGGACTGATGAGTTTGTGGCCAGCCTGGGCTATGTGAGTTCAGCTGGAAGGTGGGACCCTACCTCCAAAGAAATTAAAAACAAAACAAAAAAAAAAAACCTAGAAATTTCAGGCCCCTGGCCTTTATGACCTAAACTGAGACCACGTGGGCAGGTATCTCAGCCTGTCTACTGCTTTAGAGAATAAAAGCCAGAAAAACCACATTGGCAAACATGTTCTGGAATAAATTCAGTTTCCCCCTCACAAATAACTAAGTTAGTACAGGCTCCGTCTAGTGACTGTGAATGGAGGAACTCAGACAGCACAGTCAGGTGAGCATCGACGCCGATTGGTGAACACCACTTGAGGAAAACACTGCATATGAAGTACACGAGCTGCACACAGCCCGAGTTCACACTTCGCTGGGCGCTATGCACACTGCTATCATAGGACCATGAGGAGTGTCTTATACCAGTTTAACCAGAGGGAGATGCCTTCATTATCAAATCAAAAGCCATCTACAGCAAGCATGATGCTAAGGCCCAGAAAATGGCCACTGGTAGCAGAGCAGGTGGCCCTGCCTGTGACCAAGACTTCCTGGGACTGAGTCTGGACAAGTTGCTTACTGGTATGTTTGCCTGCAGGCATGCTATTTAGCCTCTCTGAATAATGCAGAACAAAGCCAAGAGAAATATTTAAAGAGGAGGGGACAACTGGACTGAGTAGCACCACAGTCTGATGGACAGGGTCAAATGCATAAGATTCTTCACTGATGCCTCGTGGTCCACCTTAGTTTCCCAGAGAAACTTCTAGAGGAATGAGACAATGTTGTTATGTAAAGGAGCCCACCCTCCAAGGGTCACACCCACACCATATTACCTGCAAGAACGTCACCATCTCGTTGGAACACGCTTCTAGGTTGATCCTTCGTACTGTCACATACTCTCCTGTTGGTTTGTACCTGGCTAAATTCACTGTCATTAAGTCTTCAAATCCTTTACCTAAAAGAAAAGAGGAATAACTTAAATAAAAACAGCCACTCATATTTATCTACTCTAAAGAAAAATCTAGCTCGAATGGTCACTACTGCTACTTTCATAGCTGACATTTCTTGGTTTTCCCATCGGTCCTTCTCAGGCAACCATCGTAGTGAACTATGGCCTCCTAGCAAAGACTTCTTCCTATTCTTGGCACAGGAAACCCATAGAAGCCCATTGTCACCATGAATCCTCGAAGCTAGCTGAGGAGGTGGGTGTGTTCCTGGGAATTACCTATGACAGTGAGCAGCTCGTAACACCCGCTCTCTGGCAGAAAGCTACTCATGGTCTCCGGTTTAGAGAAGGACGCTATGGATTCTGAGCTTGCCTCATTGGCCTAAAGAAAAAGAAAAAGAGGTTAGCTGAGAAAATGGGGAGGGGCATAGGTGGCAACAGATGCACGAGGAGACTCACTTCTGCAGCAACCCCGCTGTGGCAAAGAAACGGTGCTGGCTCTACCTGAGCAGGACACAACACATGGGTGTTCAGACTACATGGGCACTCTACAAATGAGGAAGACTGTTCCAGGCAACCGTTACTCCACCCATCCTTTCCAGTGACTGACTGCTAAAGTCTACCAAGTTCATGGCTGGGAAAGGAAGTGTGGAGAAAGACATGAAAAAAGCCAGGGAGTCAGGGGGGAGAGAAATACAGGGGTTTCAGTTATCTGCTTCATTGGGGTCCAATGGTTAAAGCCCGAACGGCGAGATTCTACATGGTCAGATGCAATCTTGTGCTAGAGCAGTGGTTCTCAACTTGTGGGTATAGAACCTTTTTTTTTTTTTTTCTTCGAGACAGGGTTTCTCTGTGGCTTTGGATGCTGTCCTGGAACTCGCTTGGTAGTCCAGGCTGGTCTCGAACTTACAGAGATCCGCCTGCCTCTGCCTCCCGAGTGCTGGGATTAAAGGTGTGCGCCACCAACGCCCGGCGTCCTCTTAAACATTCTTGCTCTCACTAAAACCAGTGTTTGGCTCACAGGAAGCCTGGTGGGTGGCTATCAGACATAGTCTCTGCTCTGGCCTGTGAATGTCCACAAGGTGAGGCTCTTGCCCACCTCAGTGACCCCATCTCCCTACCCAATCACTTTCCCCACACAACAAGCAGGAAAAGCCAATCTCAGAGGAGAAAACTGGCTCCATTAGATTGGCTGCAGGCAAGTCTAGGGCATTTTCTTGATTAATGACTGCTGTGGGAGTCCTGAGCAAACCATGGAGAGCAAGCCAGTCAGCAGGGTTCCCTTCAATTCCTGCTTCCAGGGTCCTGCCCTGACTTCCCTCAGTGAAACGATAAAGCGGTAAGTTGAAATAAATCCCAAGTTTCTTCCTTAACTTGCTTTTGGGCATGGAGACAGAAATTGGTAGCAGGTTCAGGCGGTACTGCTGGACAGACCGGACCATGGTGTTCTGGGGAGGACTGTAGACAGAGTTTAATGGGCTGTTCTGTGGGAACTTAAGAAAAAAACATTGTTGGAGCACTGTCTGATGATCTGAGGGAACAGGCTGTAAGGTGAAATGAGCTCTCCTCCCTAAGCTGCTCTTGGTCATGGTGTTTATCATAGTAATAGACAGCAAACTAAGACAATGTGTATGTGTGTTTTGTTTGCACATACCTAAGTGTATGCAGTACCTGTGGGGGTTAGAAGAGGGAGCCAGACTGTCTGGAACCCAAGTTACAGATAGTTTGGAGTCACCACATGGGTGCTAGGAACTGAACCTGGGCCTCTACAAGAGCAGCAAATGCCCCTGACCCTTTGAACCATCTCTCCAGTCTCTTTAACTTGATCACTCCTATTCGGCTACAACTTCCATCCCATTATTTTTTGTTTGAGTTTTGAGACAGTGTCATATGGCCAAGGCTAGCCTCTATGTAGTTGAGGATGCCCCCACCCCACGCCATCCAGTTGCACGTCAAACATTCACATGCTTATCATTCTCTCATCACTGCCTTCTATCACTTAGAGACGACTCTGCCCATCACTCTATTATGCTGCCTAGCTTTACAGTCTTCACAGAAGTCACTGCTAAAGTTGAGTCACCTATTTCCTGTCAACTAGAACATGTTCCAGATGAGAACAGGCTCCAGAGCTACACCGGGAAACCCTGTCTCAGGATACCCAAAAAAAAAAAGGCATTTGTTTTTCAAGTGAGTAACACTATGGCCCGGATGAGAAGTAACTGCTTTGTGTTTAAAGCTTTCTCTCCATTTCCAAATTTCTTGAACTTACTCTAGTTTGAAAAAGAGATAAGGAAGAACAATTGAGTCCTCAGAGTAAAATATTTATCATACGTGCTTTTTTATTTTTATTTATTTATTTTTAAGATTTTATTTATTATGTATATAGTGTTCTACCTACATGTTTGCCTGCAGGCCAGAAGAGGGCAACAGATTTCATTACAGATGGTTGTGAGCCACCATGTAGTTGCTGGGAATTGAACTCATGACCTCTGGAAGAGCAGTAAGTGCTCTTAACCTCTGAGCCATCTCTCCAGCCCACACGTGCCTTTTTAATGTATGTATTTTAAGTGACTCTTTGGTAATGTACAAATGGAAACTCCCTCGTTACCTCTGTCCTGCTTCCCGGCAGGAAGGCATACAAGACACACTGCCTACTGAGCTCCACTATGGCATTTCTTATGAACTGCTTACATAGTAACTTGACGTAACTTCCATGATCTAGTGGTACAGAAATGACTGGAAAGGGTAATGTTAGCAACTAGTACTTTAGGTACTGGAAAATGCAGAGCTGCAGGAGATGCGCAAGTCTAGAGGCTGCTGTGGCTTCTGCATGACTCTGCCTGACTCACCACAAACCATTGTAGAACAAGGCTTCCACTCTGTGGCTACCCCAGTCAGAGGCCGGCTTTCATTAGGCAAGCAAACAAAGCAGGAAAGAGAGGGAATGGTTTTGTAAACAGGACAGAAATACTTTAGTGTTCCTTGTGTAACTTCAGATTGGGCACACTATGTGATCACCTTGCGGTCACCTGCGTCACCACACGTCTACATTCCTCTAGCAGACACTTGAAATACATTACGCATCTGAACTGGTTTCCACAGATGGACTTAGAACACAAAAGGATTTCTGAGAGGTCTGGTCTGCTACTGACACACAAGCAAGGGGGTGTCCTGGTTAGTTTTCTGTCAACCTGACCCAGCTAGATTTATCTGGGGGTTGAAACCTCAACTGAGAAAATGTCTCCACTAGACTGCCTGTAGGCAACTCTGTAGAGTATTTTCTTGATTAATCACTGGTGTGGGAGGGCCCGGCCCACGGTGGGTGGTGTCATCCCTGGGCAGGTGGTCACTGTTAATATAAGAGAGCTGTTTGAACAAGCCATAGAGAGAAAGCCAATAAGTGGCGTTCATCCGTGGCACCAGCTTTAGTTCCTGCTTCCAAACTCCTGCAGTTTAAGTTCCTGCCTTGACTTCCCTCGACAAACTGTGACTCAGAATATGTAACTGCGAGCCGGGCGATGGTGGCGCACGCCTTTAATCCCAGCACTTGGGAGGCAGAGGCAGGTGGATCTCTGTGAGTTCGAGGCCAGGCTGGACCGATAGCCTCCGAAACAATACAGAGAAACCCTGTCTCGTAAAAAAAAAAAAAAAAAAAAAAAAAAAACAAAAAAAAACAAAAAAAAAAAAAGAATATGTAACTGCATAAGCCCTTCCTCCCCAAGTTTCTCTTGGTCATGGTGTTTGCCACAGCAACAGCACCATGTTCACGAGGCACTGCTGTGATAGTGCGGCCCAGGTCTGTTGGGAGGACTGTGACGGACTTGGGAGTTTGGGGCTGGAAAAGCTGCTGAGTGGTCAGGTCACGGGGCTGTTGTGGGAACCTGGGAGACAACGCTGAGAGTGGGGGGGATGACGGAGGGCTGGCTTGTGAAGTTTCGGGAGGAAGCAAGGAGTATGTAGTAGGGCTAATTTAAGTGTGATATTCTGAATTAAGAATTTGTGGTCTGTCAGCTAGGGTTGAAGAATCAGCAGTGATTAACGTAAGACCAGAGGCACTGAGGTGAACCCTGTGCTCTGCCAGAACAGGGTTAGCTCATTAAACTCTCCCAGATTTTAAAAAGTCTATGTTTAGAGCAAAAGGATGGAATTTTAGCTCATTAAGCACAGCACAGTTACACCACTGCAACCTGGAATCTCAGATTGCTCAAGGAAAGATACTAAATTTGTTCATTTTTTTTCTTTAGGTCCCCATAACATTAGAAAACATTTTACTTGTTTTGAAGAATTTTAAAAACATATAAGCCACTGACACCTAGAAATGACCATAAAACAGTAAGTAGCATTGATTAAAACAAAATCCAATACAGTGTAAGACAGTATTAATGAGACACTAACAAATGAACACATTCAACAGGTTTCACCCAGGACAGTTTTTGCTAGGCCATCAGCAACTACAGGGTTTCTCTGTGCTTTGGAGGCTGTCCTGGAACTAGCTCTGTAGACCAGGCTGGCCTCGAACTCAGAGATCCGCCTGCCTCTGCCTCCCGAGTGCTGGGATTAAAGGCGTGCGCCACCAACGCCCGGCTGTAATTAGTATTTCTTATGAAAAAAAATCTGATCTTTTTTTAAATTTTTAATGCAATTTTTAAATTTTTTATTTATTTTATTTTGTCTCCTGAATGCAAACACATGGCTCTGACAGACAGGCGCGCTCCTGAGACAGTGTAAGCACAGTCAGAACTAACCTGAGCATCACTGTTCTTTACTCAGCCTGGGGCTGCCTACAAAACATGCAACCCATAGAGCGGGGGCTGCCTGCCAAGGAAAGCATTCTCTTCTTACCCCTCCCTGTTTCCATCCTTGCTCCCCACCTCTCAGGGCCTCACTCTTGAACAAACCCAGCTGGCCTCAAACTGGTAATCTTCCTGCCTCAACCTCCTGAGTGCTGGGACCACAGGCGAATGAATGCCAGTATGCCTAGCCATTGTCCTCTCCTTTTTTAAGACAATGATTCACATATTCCAAAATAGCTTGGTGCACTGTGCACATCTGGTACTATTTACTTAGGGAAAACAAAGCACAAGGGGAGGGAAGACAGCAAAAATCTTGCAGCTTTTTTTTGGTGGGGGGATGGATCTGCTTTGCGTGTTTTTTTGGAGGGAGAGAGGAGAGAGAGGCTGAGTTTTAAATTTTTGGTTCTTTTCAGTTGCCATGTCCATGAGCAAGAATGTGTATTGTGTGGAGGTCAGTTTCCTCCTTCCACCTTCATGTGGTCCCAGGTCAACGAGGCTGGCCTCTCACTTTGGCGCCTGTGTGGGCCATCTCATCAGTCTTAGTAGCTCATGCTGTATTTTCTCCATAGACTGAAATGTACTGTTAATAGTCTACAGATGAGGAAGTTGAAGCAGCAGCCACTAAAACTGAAGTTTCACAGTGATGAACTTACTGCAGGTGAGGAGACTTTAACCCCACCAATATGTCTCTGCACCTTAAAGTACACACTGAAGTCTTTCCAGGGTGAAACCTGAAGCACAACAAGTAAAAAAAGCAAAAGAAATCAAAACTGCACTACAAATCAAGCTGAGAAGACAGAGCGGCAGAAGCAAAAAGCACAATCTCCACACGATGCCATCTCCATGCAGCAGCCACAGAGCCAGAGTTCATAAAGCCACTTACTTTTCTCCGAGTGTCACCCGGAGGCTGCTCTGGGGTAGAGAAATCAATTGTTGGCATTTTATTGTTAGCAGAAGACACACCCACATTCAGAACAGCAATTACCACACTTAGGACTACAGTTAATAATGGAAACCACGTAAGTCATTTCAGCACCACACATATGCACAGACTGCAGTGAGACCCAGGCAGCCTCCTGGATGGGAGCCTGTCCCACAGCTACAGCCCTGGGCACACATCTACTCACCACCAGCTCAGCATGTTACTGTGAATATGCTGTCTCTGAGCATTATACCAGAGATCACTTCCCTTCCCTTTGTTCCTCACCTACTGCCACTGAGCTACATACCCACGCCCCCAAATCATACATTTTAAATTTTTCTTGAAATTTAAAAAATTTTTTTATTTTATTTTATGTACATTGGTGTTCTGTCTGCATGTATGTTTGTGTGAGGGTGTCAGATACTCTGGAACTGGAGTTACAGACAGTTATGAGCTGCCAGAAGGGTGCTGGGAATTGAACCTGGGTCCTTCAAAGAACAGCCAGAGCTCTTAACTGCTGAGTCATCTCTCTAGCCCTTGTTTGAAAAAAAAATTAGCACTTATTATAGTATGTGGGTTGGAGGCAGGCGACAGCTTGTGGAAGCTGGTTCTCTCCTCCATGTAGGCTCTAGGACTGAACTCAGCTCATTAGGCTTGGCAGCAAGTGCCCTCACCCACCATGCCATCTCCTGGCCCTTTATAACTTCTTTGTTTTGTTTTTTCCAGACAGGGTTTTCTCTGTGGCTTTGGAGCCTGTCCTGCAACTCACTCAGTAGACCAGGCTGACTTTGAACTCACAGAGATCTGCCTGCCTCTGCCTCCCAAGTGCTGGGATTAAAGGTGTACGCCATCACTGCCGGCCCTTTATTCCTTTTGAGGTAGTTTCTTGATGGTTATACCTTAAGCTGGCCTGGAACTGGTGGCAATCCTCCTAGTGCAGCCGCCAGAATACTGAGATTACAGTCATGACCCACTGGGTCAGGCTCCAAAACTCGTTTTAAAGTCACAGGGTTGGTGGGCGCATTCTCAGGAGTGTAGAGACTAGACTGCTTTTGGGGGGAGTGTGGGTAAGGGGCCTTGCTTGGTTTTAAGGCAAACTGTTTTCAGCACCGCAGCACCAGCCCACATCTAAGGGACAAGACTGTTGCCCAGCTTGAGACTCCAAGTCAGAGATGTTGGACTCTGAATTCAGTAGAGCAGTAGCTTTGGGAATCAGCTGTTGGGAACCACGTGCCCTCCTGCTCACAAATCCTGTGTGCACCCTGGAGTGTTTCCATCTTCAGAAGTGATAAGATGCATTAACATGGAGGCTGGGGTGCAGTGCAGGGGGAGCAGGCCTGTCCAGCACACAAGGCCCTGGGTTTCATCTACCCAGCTCAGGAGAAGTTAGTACAGGTCTTCCACTGTAAAGTACAGGGTAGTTATACATTCTCAAACATCTTAAATCACACAATTCTAAATACCTTAAACTACAGCAAGTCAGAGGAGCAAAGTTTAATCACCAGGGAAACGCCTCTCATCGGAAACCCAGATCTACTACCTGATAACAGAAAATTGGAGGAAGAGTAATTTGGCCCTGGGTTTTCTTTCTTTCTTTTTTTTTTTTTTTTTTTTTTTGGTTTTTCGAGACAGGGTTTCTCTGTGGCTTTGGAGGCTGTCCTGGAACTCGCTCTATAGACCAGGCTGGCCTCGAACTCACAGAGATCCGCCTGCCTCTGCCTCCCGAGTGCTGGGATTAGGCCCTGGGTTTTCAAAAGAGTGGTAGTTCCCAGCAGATGGCAGTTTTCTGGCATTCTAACAACAGAAGCGACTGCTTACAGCAGTTAGTCAAAGGTGAGAAGCCAAGAAGGTGGTGGTCTACATGAAATCCAGCTCAATATCCTGACAGGGCAAATTTCAAGTTGTGTGAGACTAGGTAACACTGACTACACTGAGCTGTGACCATGCAGAGGACAATCTCTTTACCAACCTCAGATCACAGACCAGGATGCTGTCAAAGACAGTCAGAGGCTAGGTATGCTGGCACATCCCTTAATGCTGGCATTCAGAGGTAGAAGCAGAGGGATCTCTGAGTTTAGAGTCAGTCAAGACTACCCCATCTCAAAACAAACAGGCAAGCAAAAAAAAAAAAAAAATCCCATCAAAAACCCAGTCAGGGGCTGGAGAGATGGCTCAGAGGTAAGAGCACTGACTGCTCTTCCAGAGGTCCTGAGTTCAATTCCCAGCAACCACATGGTGGCTCATAACCATCTACAGTTCAATCTGGTGCCCTCTTCTGGTATGTAGGCAGAACACTGTATATGAAATAAATCTTAAAAAAAAAAAAACCGCCGGGCGTTGGTGGCGCACACCTTTAATCCCAGCACTCGGGAGGCAGAGGCAGGCGGATCTCTGTGAGTTTGAGGCCAGCCTGGTCTACAGAGCGAGTTCCAGGACAGCCTCCAAAGCCACAGAGAAACCCTGTCTCGAAAAACCAAAATAAAAAAAAAAAAAAAAAAAAACCAGTCGGGAACTGAGAATCCATTCATTCCAGTCATATACTCTTTAATATTTGTGACTAATTCATTATAAACTGAACTTGCAAAACAATTTCTACAGAAGATTATTAGTGTGTGTGAGCACATGTGTCATGGTACATGTACAGACATCAGAGGACAACTCTGTGGAATTGGTTCTCCTCTCACCTTTAAATGGGTTCCAGACAAGGCAAGCATCTTCACCCGTGGAGCCATCTCATAAGCCACAGTGTTTAACTTTAGGGTATTTTACTCCCATTAGTGATGGGAGGGAGATGAAATTAGTAACAGAACTTATTTTTTGTTCCATTAGTTTATACTGTAATAATTTTTATATTATAATTAAAACAAAATGAGCCTATCATTTTTGTGTGTGTGAGCTCTTACCTAAAATATAATACTTTGACAAAGTCCATAAACAACACTACTTTAGAATTTCTTTGAGATTCTTTTTTTTGGGGGTTTTTTTTGTTTATTTGTTTTATTTTTCAAGACAGGGTTTCTCTGTATTGTTTTGGAGGCTGTCCTGGAACTCGATCTGTAGACCAGGCTGGCCTCGAACTCACAGAGATCTGCCTGCCTCTGCCTCCCGAGTGCTGGGATTAAAGACATGTGCCACCAATGCCTGGCTCTTTGAGATTCTTTAAGGAAAATAAATTAATAGGTACTATCCAGTAATACATTTGAGGGGCTAGAGAGATGGCTCAGAGGTTAAGAGCACTAGTTACTCTTCCAGAAGACCTCAATTCAATTCCCAGGAACCACATGGTGGCTCACAACCATCTCTAATTCTTCTGGCCTGCAGGGATACAGAGCATTCAAATCACCTCCCCCACCCAAACTTAACACAATTGAGTTTTCAGTTACTTGGTCTATTTGTAGATGCTGTGGACTGCTGTTTATCTATAGGGTGCCTAGAATATCACAATAGTTGAAAACAATGAATGGGACTGCAATATTTTGTTATTACAAGTATCTTTTGGTTTTTAGAGACTGTCTTGTTATATAGCCCATCTGCCCTTGAATACCCTTAAGAAGTGTAAGATAGCCTCAAACTCAATGATTCTTCTGTCTCAGCCTCCCAAGCGCAGGGATAGCAAGCAGGTGTGTGCCAACATGTCCAGCCACTACTACTATTTTTACAGAGAACCTTTCCATTGCCCTAAACTAAGATCATCATTTCCAAAAAGGTCTTACTTTGGAAAGGGTCAAACAAAACAGGAATGTCTGTGCCTGTTAAACATCAAAGGGCAAACCTAAGGGGTCAAAAACCTATTATAATAGAAGGTTAGTATTTTTGCTCTGACAGACTTTTTTCCTTAGTTCTATTGAGTCTCACAATTCCAGCTATGAAAAAAATGAATCAACTATATGGATCAATACAACCAGGACTTTTATAACACTTCTACTTTGTCTTGACATTGTGTGTGTGTGTGTGTGTGTGTGTGTGTGTGTGTGTGTGTGTGTGTGTGTGTGTATGAGAGAGAGACGAGACTGGAGAATGAGTGCTGTCAAAGCTGTGTCCCGTGCTTTCTTTTCACTTTTTAGTTTGACACAGGGTCTCACTAAGTTGCCCAAGCTGGTCTTGAACTTGTAATGTTGCTGTTTCAGTCTCCCAAGTATCCAGAATTACAGGCTTTTACCATTAGGCTTTACACACTTGGAAAAATTTTAGTTTAACAGTATGTGTTTCAACTGGACAAACACTTATAAGAAACATACAGGTCTTTGTGCTTGTTTTCTAACTAACAATCAAGACAGGTCAAAAGTAACTGCTGTTAACAGTATGTGTTTCAACTGGAGAAACACTTATAAGAAACATACAGATCTTTGTACTTGTTTTCTAACTAACAATCAAGACAGGTCAAAAGTAACTGCTTGATTCATCCACAGATTTCTAGGAAATTCCAGATTAAAAAGGAAGCCAGTGAATCTAACAACTATAGTTTACTGTTGCTCTTCAAACTGCTAACTTCTATAAACTAATCTAGTCAGCAAAAGAATAGTGATAATTATCCTGAAATGATGGCTAAGTGCCATACTGTACTTACCTCCAAATAGTTCCAAATCTCTTAAGCCCTCAACAATGAACTTTTCCGAGACCCACCGCTAAAGAGGAAAACCCCAAAGAGAATTAGTATATCTTCTAAGCCACAACAAAGTGCTATCAGCCTTTAGAGACAAACAAAACAACCACAAACCCCACAAAAACAAAAATAAGCAATACAATATCGGACTCGTTTCCACATAAGGCTGAAAAGGATCTTGAAATTAGCTACAAACAATAGATTCATCCCTTTCTCTAGTCTGTACCTAACTGTAAGCAAAATGAAGACTGGTCCATAAGTGCGGGACAACAGAGATACATGGAACTGTCCCTAATTATATTTTTCTCTCCTATATAGAAAACTATATTTGGTTCCATCTTGCTCATTCCATAAATATTCTCCTTTTTTGTTTTTTGTCTTGTTTTCAGAGACAGGATTTCTGTATAACAGCCCTGGCTGTCCTGGAACTCACTCTGTAGACCAGGTTGGCCTTGAACTCACCAAGATCCACCTGCCTCTGCCTCCTGAGTGATAGGATTAAAGGTTTGCGCCACTACTATCCGGCTTCCACAGATAATTCTTTACAGAAATCCTGGATCATCAGTGCCAATTTGAAAAGTATTATTGGAATTCAATACATACAAAACACGAATAAAAAAATTTGTCACAAGCCTCCATTTGTTTATAAAATGAGACCCAGGATATTCCATATTGTTTTATCTACAAAGCTTTCTTCTGTCTAGTTTTTATGTTTCTGAGACTAGGTCTGTCTCTGTTGCTTAGTCTGGCCTTAAACTGCTTAATCCTCTTCCAGTTTCTCAAGTGCTAGATTACACCATGCCTGGTTCTTTTTTCTTTTTTGGTAGTAGAATCCATTCATTATACAGGAGGTTGAGTTTCCTTATGATATCATCTCATGTGCAGATCCTATTCCTTGATCATATTATAGCCCAGTAGCATCTTCTTGCCCCTTCCCTACTCTGGTTCTCCTTTCTCATGTCAGAGATTTGTGTGTTATTCTTGTATAAATGCACACTCATCATCTCAGTATCACAGTGTGGGTACAGGGGCTGCTGAAGCCAGCACACTTACAAGGGAAGTTCACCAAGACCAAACCAACCAGGGCAATCAGCCCATTTCAGGTGAGTGTTAGATTTCCATTATACTAATCAGGAGTCTGGTTTCACCTTCATCAGGCCAGGTTAAAACAGGAATGTGGCTCATGTTTAAAAGCAATGGAATCCAGATTCTGTTTCACTTCATGATTGGTGTTAAAGTTTGGCAAGGAGACATTCTTTCCACTGAGAAGAGTTCAGGCTGAGGAGAGAGTTATCTTTTCCTCTTAATTAACACTGAAATTTATTTCTTACAGTGTAACTTGTTTTTATGCATATAAACACAAGAAAGGGAAGATTAAAGGACATGTTTTAAAAAGCTATGTAATATGTACTGAAACTATAAAATCACTTTGTCCTTTTCTGTAACACTTCCTCATTTAATATGAAAGGAATGCACATGTGGAGGTCAGAGGACAACACGTAGGATTCACTTCTCTCCCCTCACCATGAGTTCTCAGGGATAGAACTCCAGTCGTCAGATTTGATGCAAGCCCCTGTACCTGCTAAGCCAGCTCACTGAACCATAAGCCTGCGATTTTAGCGAAGTCACTGGAGCTTTTTTTTTTTTTTTTTTTTTTTTTTGGTTTTTTTTCGAGACAGGGTTTCTCTGTGACTTTGGAGGCTGTCCTGGAACTCACTTTGTAGACCAGGCTGGCCTCGAACTCACAGAGATCCGCCTGCCTCTACCTCCCGAGTGCTGGGATTAAAGGCGTGCGCCACCAACGCCCGGCACTGGAGCTTACTTATAAAGAAACTAAATCTAGTATTTGTTTAAGGTTAATCTCACAAGATTTTTTTCTAAACTTTTACAGGGGAGCATGGGAACCAAGCTGGCACTATCACAATTATGCAGTTGAGTTTACATGTCAGCACGCCCGAGTGCAGTGGGAAAGTCTTGGACTGTGAAACCATCTTCGTGATCATGGTCCCTCTCCTGCCAGGTGAATATGAGCTCTTCTGCTTCACTTATTTGTTTTGTGCATGTGTGTCATGTGTGTATGTGGGGACCAGAGGACATGTGGGAGTCAGGTCTCTCCTTCCACTATAGGTCCTAAGGACTGAATTCAGGATGCCAGGCTTAGCATCAAGCCCTTGAACCTGCTGGGTCAGCTCATAGTTAACTTTAGAGACCCTTCATGATTATATTGAGAAATGCGTTGATAAAAAAATTAAGGTATAATAAATTCTTCCAGTTAACTTTAGAGACCCTTCATGATTATATTGAGAAATGCATTCCAGTTAACTACAATCTCACACTGATTTTAAAAACATAAATCCATGAAAAACAGAAGCAAGATCTTTACCAGCTGTGTAACTACATAGAAAAAGCCCAACTCATTTAGCATGTGACTGACCAATTCAGAAAATAAGGCACCTTCCTGTTTTCCACCAGACAGTTCCAAGAGTCATATTCAAACAAGACAAAGTGACCCACTACAGTGTCCACCCAAATACTTGGCTTTTCAGAAGAGAAAAAATAGAAAGCCTGAAGAATGGAGACACTCACCCTGATTCGCTCTGGTTTACTTACGAGAAAAGACATGGGCTCCGACTGTGTAGACCTACTGCGATTTCAAAAATGTAATCCTAAAAGGAAAAGAGAAACAAGGAGAGTTGGTTAAATCTCTTTTTATAGAAACATCTTTTTCTCCCCTGCAGCAAAGTCTAGTCTCGAACTCACTATACAGTAGAGAACAACCTTGAACTCCTGAAACTCCTGTCTCCACACCCTGATTGCTGGAACCACAGGCATGTACCACACCTGGGTTCTGTGGTGACGATGGAACTGAGCCAGGTGTTTAGGCAGACATTCTACTGAGCAGCATGCCCAGTCTAGACAAAGCTTCTCTGTGGAACAAAATGGACTACTGATCTACCATTTCAAGGCACCATTCCAGACATACAACTTGCTAACTTCTGAGTATGTGTTTAGAATTGTATTGCATGACAATAAACTTGGATATACTTTGAGCAAGTACATTCTGAAACTGTCATTTCTGTAAGAAAAGAAGTTTGGAGTCCAGTATGTCAATGCATTCTTGTATTCCCAGAACTCAAGAAGGAAGATAAAGAACTGCAGGCCAGCAGGGGTTTCATACATTGCAGGACTGTTAAGAAAGCAGGGTAAGGTGGGTGGGAGAAGTGGGGTACAACGGATGAATGAGAAGAAATTTTTCAACTTGGAGAAAGGCAAGTGCAAAAGCCACAGTTAACATAAAGTGCACCATGAGTAAGCTCCTTTTAAAAACAAAGCAGGTGTGTCTGCCCCCACTTCCAAACATCACTGCATGCCGGCCTCCCCACTTCTGAACATCACTTTAGCACAAGTCTGGCAAGCAAAATAGGCACACAGTGTTCAAAGTGCAAAACTCTCTGCCCCTCCCCCCAGCCTTTTTCTTTTTGAAACAAGGTTTCTTCTCTGTGTAGCCAAGTTGTCCTGGAACTCTGTGATCCACCTGCCTCTGTCGCCTAAGTGCTGGGACTCCCACAGGCTTTTCTTTCTTTTTGGAGGCAAGGTCTCAGATATCCAGGGTGATACACAGAAAGGATGACCTCAAACTTCTGATCCTCCTACTTCTGTCTCCTGAATGCTAGGATTGTGGCATCACACCCACCCAATATTTTTTTTCCTTGTCTGATTTAATGAAACTTGAATATTGAAAATACAGATTGCGATTTTTAATTTGAATTAAGACATTCAGAAAGCTGAAGTGACTTTCCTTTCTTTCCTGTGGGACCTTGGGCATGGTAGGCAGGCACTCTACTTATAAGCTACCAGCACTGTTATTTCTGAGACAAAGTCCTTTATATAGACAGGCTGGCTTCAAACAATCCTCTTGACTTAGACTCCAAGGGCTGGGATTATGGGCAGCCAGATGCACCTGGCTGGAAGTGTAAAAATATTTACTGATAACAGGAATGTGTACTTAAAAAAATTCTAAGGATTATACAAATAATTTTAAAAAAATATTTTAAGATGGGTGTGGTGTTGCATGCCTGTAATACCAGTACTTGGCATGAGGATCAGGAACTCAAGGTCATACTTGCCTATATGTGACTCTGAGGCTAGCCTCTGCTACATGACCTGTATCAAAACCAAACCAAACAAAAATTTAAATAAATGCTGCACTGCAGACTGGGTGCTGTGCTGAACACCTGTAATCCTAGAACTACTCAGACTGGGGTAGCAGGATCAAGAGTTCAAGGCCAGCTTAGCTACTGAAGAGATCCTGGATCAAGGAAAAAAATCTAAAAACAAATGGATATTCATCTGAATATTGAGGGAATTTCCTTTTCTACTTTGGTGACATTAAGATCACTATGCTGCTTTCAAATGTCCTTAAAATACAAAATTACAGAGGAAGGAAAGGCAGATGGAGAAAAGATCATTCAAACCATAAATCCATTTTTATCAAGAATATATAACACCATAATACACTGCAAAGCAATAGACTTAGTAGATAGAAACAGAAATAGCCTTTTTATTTATTGATTTGTGGTGCTAGACATCCAGCCTAGCACCTCACACATGCTAAACAAGCACTCTACCACTGAGGTACATCCATCCTAGATACAGCTTCATTATTTATAAGCAACAATTATCTTTCTGATGACTGAAGTCCTCAGAAATAAGAATAAGGCCTCAGTTTTGGATACCATGACTAAATCCTATATGCTTTGCATAAACTGAAAATCTATTTTAGGATAGCCAATAGTTACATTAAAAGCAGAAATGGCACATGCCTTTAATCCCAAAACTCAGGAGGCAGAGACAGGTGAATCTCTGAGTTTGAGGCCAGCCTGTTCTCAGAGAAGAGTTCCAGGACAGCCAGAGCTTCACAAGGGAAATCCTTTCTCAAAAAACAAACAAAATATAGGTCAGAAAAGCTAAGTTCAATAGCATCTGCCTAGCAGCCCAAAGTCCTAAATTTAATCCCCAGTATAGTTTATTTTTCTTTATCTGAAAGAGTAGCTGTGGTGAAGAGATTATTTTTTAAGGATTTATTTATTTGTTATGTATACAGTGTTCTGCCTGAATGAAGACCAGAAGAGGGTACCAGACTAAATTACAGATGGTTGTGAGCCACCATGTGGTTGCTGGGAATTGAACTCGGGACCTCTGAAAGAACAGACAGTGCTCTTAAGCCCTGAGCCATCTCTCCAGCCCTGTGATGAAGAGATTTATACATTAAAACCGGAATAGGGTGGGGGATCTCCAACTTGTCTTAGAACTCCAGAGTCTATGTTGGGGTCAGGCCTTGGAAGAAAACCAGATGGCTTTCCTCATCAAGCATGCACCTCCTTTTGACAGGGCCCTGGTGCCCGACCATAGCAATTCACAAAGGTGTAAGAAATATGACACACTCCAGGGAGAGTAGGACCTTAACTGGTTGAGGAAGTGGGATGTACACCAATAAACAGGACAGAGAGAATGGACAAGAAGGAATGAGCAACTTCTTATGGAATTTAACAAAAACATAGCTGAGTGGCAGTGGGCCTGGAATATCAAAGGTGACTTAAAGAGTATGGAGCTTCCAAGCCAAAGGGTGTAACTGGTATCTAGTGTTTGCTGTCTTATTCAAAGGTGTATCTCTAGCTTCCACAACAGTGCTTGCCACACAGTAATCACTCAGAAACACTAAATAATTGCCGGAAAGTGAAGAGAAATGTGTTAGCACTTTGAACATACTCTCCAGTGTGTGAAAACCATGAAGAGGCCTTCAATGCATGCTAACAAAAGGCTGGATTAGCAGGGGGTAGGAAGCCACTGTAAGCTTTGAACAGAAAGATGATACACAATAGTGGTGTAAGCAGTGTGTCTCACATCTTGTTGAGCCCACAAATCACTTAAGAGATCTTGTTAAAATTCAGGCTGCAATTCAGAAGGTATGGAGTGGGCTTGGACGTTTCTAACACACTCTCTGGAAGTGACAATGCTGTTGGCATGTGGACCATGCTATTAACTAACATTTGAGAAATCTTGTTTGGAAGAACATTCCAAGAAATGTTACTCTATAACGGAATGAAGAAAGGGAGGGGTAAAAATAACCTAGAGAAAAGCATGCTGGTTAGAAAACAGTTTTCCCGGAGATAAGAGCATGGAAAACCAGTGGAACAGATGAGTGGCTAAGAATAAAGGCATAAAGCTGTCACAGTATCCCAAGCTATTCAGCTCTTTCTCTGCCCTTGGATAATTTGAGATAGGGTCTTCTACATACAAAGTTGAGCTTCAAAGTCACTATGTAGCTACTCACGAGGATTCTTTGCCTCCATACTCCTAACTGCTAGGATGACAGGCTTACATTGCCAAGCATGGCTGGAGAATGTCTTTTACAAACTCTCCTAGCTATATGGCTGTGTAGTCCAACTGAAAACTGCAGAGACAATACCTTATTTGAGAGCCTATTGCATAACTGATAGTCCTAATTGTGTGTATATGTTCTTGAGTTATCAAAAAGAGATTAATATGCCACTGAACTAATGCCAGAAATAGGAAAATTCAGAAAGAGAAGTGGCTTTAATGTAAGGATAAATTAAAATACTTATTTAGTGCATGTGTATGAGTGTGTAGCGTATGCACGTGTGTATGAGGGGTGTGTATACAGAGGCCTGAAGAGAACACCAGGTGTCCTTCTCTGCCAGGTTCAAGTTTAACTAATGTTGAGAAGGATTATATCTTTCAAAAGGGGGGATAGCCATTTACTAGGTAAATAGTATTGATGTTTAAGAAGAGTTTAATATGGCTATGTGGATTTAGAGGTCAACTGCTAAGGCTATAAAAGTGGCAGAAATCCAAAGCTGAGAATGGTTGCTCATGCTTGTAATCTCACCATTCAAGAGACAGAGACGGGAGGACCAGGGATTTAACATAATCCTTGGCTATAGCCTATCTTAAAAAAAAAGAACAGGAAGAAGAAGCCGGCGTTGGTGGTGCACGCCTTTAATCCCAGCACTGGGAGGCAGAGGCAGGCAGATCTCTGTGAGTTCGAGGCCAGCCTGGTCTACAGAGTGAATTCCAGGACAACCTCCAAAGCAATACAGAGAAACCCTGTCTCGAAAAACAAAACAAAACAAAAAAAGCAAACAAACAAAAAAAGTGGAGTCTATAAAGACCCTGCTTCCCTTCTTGTACCCAGGTTAATTCTGACACTCACTGAATGACCACCTCAAGTACCTATGCAACAGGAGCCCCCATTTCCCTGGCTTTATTGTGTGTGTCCCTTTGTATGCATTCGAGGCTAAAGGACATGGGCGTCCTATTCTACCACGCTGTCTTACTCCTTGAGACAAGCTTTCTCACTAACCCTGGACACAGGCCGGCAGCCAGCAAGCTCTGGTGTTTCTCTTGTCACAAGCCCTTGGCCACACGTGGCTGTCTCCTGGGATGCTGGAGACTGGAACTCAGAGTCTTTATGCTTCAGCAGCATGTCCACTTACCCACAGCCACCTCAGCGGCCACCCAACCACACTTTGAATTGCCTCATTACCTCTCCCACGACAAGAGGTACACAAAGAAGAATCCACTTGCTCTGACTTTTCTTCTATTTTTTGTCACTGGTCCCCTAAATTTCCTTAATGTCTGAGATCACAACTATAGACATAGCCAAAGCTCTTCTAAGAAACCTAATTAAAGGATGAGGAGAGTTGACTTTTTTGGGGGGGAGGGGGTAGTGCTGGGGATGGAATGCAAGTCCTCACTAACGATAAGCAAGCACTCAGGCACTGAGCCACACCTGCTGTCTCACATTTGGAGTATCGTCTCTCAGAGGAGACCAGAATCAGTCTCAACTAGTTCATGAAGACGCGTTCACATATTGGAACATGGTTCTACCTCAGCAGGCATTTGGGTAAGACAGACCCCAACGACTGGAGAAGGGGTCAAGTCGAGTCATCTTAGGGTCTTAGCTGAAGGTTGAGTTCAGAAGTTAGCTCTTTATTTCCTAAAATTATTTTATTTAACGACTCCCCCTCTGTCGTGCTCACTCTCGGCCGCCAGACCCAGTTCCCAAAACTGCTGGGGAGCACTTAAAACAAAAAGGCAATCAGAAACTTCGTTTTGACCCAAGCAGAAAATAACCCTGATCTTGCTTCCTTATGAGGGCTCAACTCGATGCCCTTCCAGCATCGCCTGAAATGAAAGAGGGGTCGAGGCAGTTCAGCACCAGGGTTTGCTACTTTGCGGGAGGACAAAACGACATCTGGTCCCAGGCACCCCGTCTGGAAGCCCCGGGAAAGATGGGGAGGGCAGGCAGGAGCTAGCCTCTCCGGTCCGGCCACTCTGCTCGGCGTCTCCCCAGCCAGGCCCAAGCCTATTCTGCTCTCAGGCTGTCACACCTCAGTGTGGGAACCCAGAACCCGGGTTAAATGAGGGCCCGAGGAGGTCGAGGGTGAGCCGGGATGGCCGCTGAGGCGCGCCTCGGAGGAGATGACTCCGAGTCGGGCGAGAGGAACTGGCCCCGGAGAGCGCGCCAGGCGGCCCCGCCACCCGGTACCTGGTCTAGGAGTCAGAGCGTAGTACCGACTCGTCTCGGCTCCGCCTCCTCAGTTTGGTGGCCGCGCTGCCGCCAGGCCCGTTGCTGGGAGGGAGGTACGCAACGTGCCATGCGCAGTGGAGGGATCCAGGAAGGCTGGCAGAGTCTCGCCACGCCCGTAAAGGAAGCCCCGCCCCTCCCACGGATGATGCTTCTCATTACCCCGCCCCACGGAGGAAGTCCCTCCCCTCCCCTGCCGAGGAAGCCTTGCTCTGCCTCACCCAAGGAAGAAGCTCCGCCCCTCACCTCCCTCGTCCCGCTCTCGGAAGACGCTCCGCCTTACCCTTCCCGTGAAGGAAACTCTGCCCCGCCCTGCCCCGCCCCAGCTATCTCCTCCCACAGAGGAAGCTCCGCCTTCCCGCGGAGAGGGCTTATCCGCTTCCCGCGTGCAGAGCACCCAGCCGCTGTGGCGGGGAGAGAGCTCTTAACTAGTCTCTCCCCTTTCTTTGCTGAGGGCGCTCCTTATCTAGGTAGAAGCGGGTTTCCCCAAGGCAAAGACCTAAATTACTAGTCGTCATTGTTGCAGACAGCAGTCCAGAAGGGCCCTGGGGCCTCCCATACCCCTCCTATCTGCAGAGAAGGGTCAAGGGCCAACTAATTATAGCTAGGGACTTGCCTATCAGTATTTCCCCCACCCCGTCCTAACCCCCGCAAATCATTTCACCTGGTAGGACTTAAAGTGAAAAAACACTTCATATGCCTTACTTGGGTCTGTGTCCCAGACATTGCGGAACAAACTGAAGAGGAAACTCACCCTGTGTCGGTGCCCCAAGTTCCTTCTATGTAAAGCAAGGAAAATTGCTCAACTAAACCCTCCTTCATCCATAACTTTTTTTTTTTGTATTGGGTTTGAGACAGGATCTCATGTAACCTGGGCTGTCCTTGAACTCAGAGATTAAAGCTGGGATTACAGCTTGGTGATGTGTCCTTTTTGTAGAAACCTAGGATGAGTTTCCTTTATGAAGACAGGTGCACACGGGACTGATAAAATGAAGCATTCCAGATGCAGCGAGACTTCCTTCTGTGACTTAGGACTTTCAGTCACTTCAGTTGCTGTGGAGTGCTGTCAAGTAATGAATACCTGTTTCGCCCAGTTCCGTCCCCTCACAGAATAATGCCAGTCTAATAACTTCCAAGATGTGTGAGTTCGGCAACATCCAAACCCGGGCTTAATGGGAATACACCAAACGTGCTGCAGGATCTCACCGTTTTACACACTTCTGTGACCTTACCTATTGATTTAACATTGTAAAGCACAAACTCAGTCTAAAATGTTTCTTTCAGAAGTGAACCTAATGAGTCCACAAAGAAGCAAGAAAATGGAGGGAAATTCAGTTTCTGCAGTTCACATGGTCTTTGGAAATGAGTATTACAGAAAGCAACAAAAAGATGCCAGCTTTGGGCTGGAGAGATGGCTCAGAGGTTAAGAGCACTGGCTGTTCTTCCAGAGATCCTGAGTTCAATTCCCAGCAACCACCTCTTCTGGACTGCAGGCAGAACACTGTATACTTATTAATAATGAATAAAAATTTTAAAAAATGCCAGCTTTGCAGGGTGGTGGTGACGAACACCTTTAATCCCAGCACTCAGAGGCAGAGGCAGGCAGATCTCTGAGTTCAAGGCCAGCCCGGTCTACAAAGTGAGTTCTAGGACAGCCTCCAAAGCTACGGAGAAACCCTGTCTTGAAAAACAAAAGATGCCAGCTTCATTTTGCTTTAAAATTTTCTGAGTATGTATGTGTACTTGAGTATACATATGCATACCACATGTGTACAGAAGCAAGCAGAGGCCAGAGGGTGTCTTATCCCCAGGAACAGAGCGACAGATAGTTGTGGGTTCTGGATCCTTTCCAAGAGCAGCCAGTGCTCCTAACTGCTGACCTGTCTCTCCAAACTATGGTTTTGAGGCAGGGTCTTAATTCTAGTTCAGGCTGACCTGGAACTCACTCTGCAGCCCAGGCTGGCCTTAAACTCAAAGACACACACACCACAGACACCCCGCCGCCCCCCACGTCTGTTCTGGGATTACAGATGTGAACCACCACACCAGGCTATACTTATCAAGCAGCCTCAAGTTGTGTTTTCCCCTCCTCTTCCTCGCCTTTCTTCTTTGGACTGTACTAAAGATTGGGCCTAGGACATCACACATGCTGGGCAAGTGCCTCAGGCCTAAAAGCTCTTAGTCGTTATAATGGGATGTATTAACACTAGGTACTTCATCGGCCACCACATTTTCTAACAGGATGTTACAATCTGAGAGTCAGCATGGCTGGCAGATTTTACCAACCATATGGCTGCCCAACAAAGCTACTCAGAGACCCCCTTCTCCCAGACTCTGCTGTGTCAATGAGCAAATGCATAGGTTCTCATACACCAATCAGAATAAATGGAAACAAACTGTATAATGAAAGGTCAACATTCAGAGGTTACAGAGTGTGAGCCCTGGAAGGCACAAGTTCCTGATGCTTTTAACTTATTGTAGGGGAAGGGTGCTTGAAGATTTCCAGAGCTTTTGGAAACTGACTTGAAGCCGAAAGCAATGGAGACAGGCTAAACTAACTACTTGCTTTTTTTTTTTTTTTTTACTTTTTTAAAGCTACTTGTATTTTTAATTCTATTGTTTAAATACATAAGCTTCTACATGAAAACCCATATGTGAACTCCTTGTTTAAAGAATACTCAAGGGCTGGAGAGATGACTCAGAGATTAAGAGCACTGGCTGCTCTTCCAGAGATCCTGAGTTCAATTCCCAGCAACCACATGGTAACTCACAACCATCTATAATGATCTGGTACCCTCTTCTGGTATGTAGGCACACATGCAGGCAGAATAATAAATAAATCTAAAAGAATACTCAAGTGAAATAGGGCAATGTGTGGGTGAGAACAAGTTGACTAGGACTACTTACCTGCAAAGTGTTTCAACTTAGGCTCTTTACATTTCACTATCTAACATGAGTATCCACCTAGTCATTTTAGGAAGGGGTAGAAGACAAAAGAAGAGAACAGACTTGCCAAAAGCACTAGGATAGGAGAGCTGGAGGGTGAAACTCATCAGTAGAGTGCTCACCCAACACACAGGATTCAAGCATGTGCTTTGGGTTCAAGCATGTGCAGCTCAAAAATCTGTAGTTCTAGCTCTGCTAAGAGACAAGCTAAGCTAGAGAAAATGCTCAGAGGAAAGCTATGTAATGTAAATTTAAAATATGAATGGAGGGAGGGGGAGAGTAGTGTGGGAACAAATATGACAAAGTACAATGTTATGTGTATGAACATGTAATAATGAATCCCATTATTTTGTATGCTAACTAGAAATACCTTTGAAAAGTGGAAAAAACCTTATGAAAACCAGCAGTTCAATGGACAGGTGGAGGCAGTGTCATTTTGTTCCTCAGTAACCATTCCCAAGGAAAGGAATACTTATTTGTTTGTTTTTCGAGACAGGGTTTCTCTGTATTGCTTTGGAGGCTGTCCTGGAACTAGTTCTTGTAGACCAGGCTGGTCTCAAACCCAAGAGATCCACCCCATCTCCTGAGTGCTGGGAATAAAGGCATGCGCCACCACCGCCTGGATACTTTAAAAAAGGCCAGGGTGAGCATCAGAAGCTGGAATTCAGCCTGGAATAAATGGGGCTGGGACCCTGTCTCAAAAGGTGAGCATGGCAGTGCGCCCCCAGCTGCCTAGGAGGGGATGAGGGAAGACTGAGTCTATGAGTCGGAAACTAGCCTAAGTAACACTTTAACAAGCAGTCCTCTCAGAAAATAAGTAGATGTGGTGGCACCCGCCCCAGCACTCCAGGCTATGGCAGGGGCACTGTCATAAATTTCAGGCCAGTCTGGGTTATAGATGAGACCTTGTCTCAAGAACAAAGCAGTCAAACAATACAATCTACCATTAGGAAAAAAAATCAGTTTTCTTTTATTCCTTCTCAATTCAGAGGGTTGAGACAGCTGTGAACTTGTAGAGACATAAAGCCGTATTCCTATGTTTAAAGATTTTGTTGTAATATATATATGTATGTGTATATATATATATATATATTTGTGGATTAAAACCTAGAGCTCAGTCTACACTGTTAAGAGTCACAATTTTCACACTACAAATGATCAGTCTACACTGTTGATACTTTCTTACAGAATTGGGTTTGAGGAAGGCTTCATTTTGTGTGGATGTTTAGTGTAACTTTGAGGTTGTATCATACTGAAAATAAAGTCATTGGTGATTTACTCCTCAGGAAAAAAAAAAAAAAGATTTTGTTGTATTCAGATGTGTGTGTGAATGCAGTTGCCCACCGAGATCAGAAGAGGGCAGCAGACCCCCTAGAACTGCTGAGATTCCAATGTGGGCCCTTTGCAATGGCAGTTAAGTGTTCTTAACTCCTAGCCTTCTCTCTAGCCCTGTTATCTTTCTTTTTCAGTCAGATCTGCTATCACCAAACACTAGAAACTTAAGAACTAGTATTAAAAATGTGTGACACTATGCCCAGCTAGGCCTTTTACTTTCACTGTTTCAGTAGTTTGGAATAGAAGCCACCCCTATGGGTCAACTCTTCTAGCCTTTAACGTCATTTAGATTAAGAGGCAGGAAAAGACAACATGATGCTCTATTTCTATTGGATGACTGGAATGAAAATGTCACCCAGTATTTTCCTTGGTCCAAGTTCCATATAAAGGAGTTCTACATCTTGTGCTTGACAGAGAGGTTTCCTTGTACTAAGGAATTATAAACAATTCCCCTGCTCTTTCCGCCAACTTGGCGCCTGTGGAGGCCTGCTGGGAACAGGACTTCTAAAAGGCAGATATGTCTGGCAGGCTGTGATGCACGGCCATTTTTGCTGGTTATAAGCGAGGTCTCTGGAACCAGAGAGAGCACACAGCTCTTCTTAAAATTGACAGTGTTTATGCCCGAGATGAAACTGAATTCTACTTGGGCAAGAGATGTGCTTACGTGTATAAAGCAAAAAAAAAAAAACAACACAGTGACACCCAGAGACAAACCAAACAAAACCAGAGTGATCTGGGGAAAAGTAACCCAGGCCCATGGAAACAGTGGCATGGTTCGTGCCAAAATCCAAAGCAACCTTCCTGCAAAGGCCACTGGACACAGAA